TTAATAAATACATTAAACACGTCAATATCCTTCAACCGTTTAAGTGTTAATAACGAGATTTCTATAACTGAAATAACTGTCCATTGCTGAACATAAGCCTTCTCCATAAGGGGAGTTTTGCCAGTAATTTACCAATGGGAGATCTTGTACAAAAGTCGTTTGCTTGGGCACCTCTGTCGCATTCGGGTTTCTACCGTAAAGCAGTTGTGTTTACATGGTTGTGTTTCGATTTGAAGGATAGAATATGGGAGTGAATTTACTGGGTACAGAGGAATAACATCTGAGTCCTCAGGAATGGCAATGCATGGGGGGTATCATGGACGAAACAGTATACTGTTATGTCTATGGTACTGCTCATATCTATAGGCGATTGTTACCACTTTCCAGGTGGGCCGTCAGCTTGTTAGCCAACTTACAAAAAAAATACCATAGACCGGCGGGTTGGCAACCGCAGTTATGCTTGTAGAGATGTTTTAAAAGGGACGCTGCTGCCCATCCCTCTACCAATAAGTTCCTTTAGTCGCCTTTAACGACACCCACGGGAAAGGAAGAGGTAGCCTATTCTATACCGGGACCATGGATACGGACATTATAACTAACAGTCCTATACGAGTCGAATTATTAATTAATAAAAACTGCAAATGTGTGCATGAACAACAAACGTTTGTATTTGATTGAGCAATATGGAGTACGGTTTCATATTTTGCGGCTTCACTATCATTTTACATATGATAAAGATCTATCCGTTATTTTGTTGGTTCGAGCTACTTGTAGATACTATTAATTCAAACTGGATTATAATCGAACCGAATTGCAGCAATATTGCAGATTTTGAATGCTAATTTCCTGTTAACATCCAGCGTGGATTGCGTGGCGTCGTTAATTGAAATATAATAGCTTATTATTATTTTTTATTAACATAATTATATCTATGTAATAACATACGTGTACCAATAGAAACGAGACATGGTCCTAAACGGTATTTTTAATGGGTGATGATGGAATAGTAACCCCATCTGCGCCAACGGTATACGACGGCAAGGCACCAGTGAAGTATAATAGGTGAGGATGAAAGCAGGTCAATTAGCCCATAGTAATGAATACACCTGGTATTCAGCACTATAGTTTCCAAAAACGACCACAGGAAGGTCGACGTAGTTGGGTATATTGCTAGCAATAGGGCCCTTAGTCCATTTCCCCCGGTTCTACACGGTTGGGTGTATGCATAAGCTTTAAGTTGCTCAGCGAGCTATAAAAAGAGCTAGGCTCGAAGTTATACAAAGTGGCCGACATATCCCAGAGTAAGCAAGCTGAAATGACGATGCACTGGTCACATAGCTCGTAGAACTGACAATCGATGGGGATGAAAGGGCCTTCAGTGGCAACCGCACACAAGCAAACGCAAGTTAGGACAAATACCCACAAGATTTTACGAGAGAGACTTTATACAAAAGTCAATTGCTTGGATACCTCTGTCCCATTCGTGTTTCAACCGTAAAGCAATTGTATTTGCATGGCTGTGTTTCGGTTTGAAGGGTGGGATGTGGCGTAAATTTACAGGGTACGGAGGACTAACACCTGAGTCCTCAGGAATGGCAACGCACGGGGGGCATCATGGACGGATCAGTATACTCTGTGATGTCCATGGTACTGCTCATGTCTATAGGCGACGGTTACCACTTTCCATCAGGTGGGCTGTCAGCTTGTTTGCCATTTTAAGTTGTATTTAAAAAAATAAACAAATACAAATATGGAGCGTTGACCTCAAATGCATTGCAGAGAATCAGTGGATGCAGGAGTTCCGGGGCCATTCCTTATGGCAGTCTCTGTGGGAGGAATATGTGGACAGTTAACGGCTGAAATGCTGATGACGATATGCATGAACTAACTAACTAATACACAAAGCGCTGTATAACCGGAATGTGTGTCGCACTGATAGTTTATCTGCATTTCCCAATAGAGGAGCGTGACCCAGTTGTCAAATTTGTACGAGGTCGGAAGTAGAGCAATTGATACCCGAGTCACATTGGAAGGTCGAGGCCGAGCCGAGCACCCCCCGAGCGGTCTATGTAAACAGTGTGAACATTTAAATAATAAATATAAATCAATAGGTACATATAGATATGCTTACAATTATTTATTTATTTAAATTAATTAGGTAAACGTTACTTTCCTTGCATGCACACGATAATTGAGAATAATTTAAAAAGATATAACTTAAAAGCTAAATATATTTCTCCACAAACATAGCCAAAAATGTCCCAAAAACATATGATTAAAATGTAAGTTCAAAAACTAAAACCCGACTATGGAACTACGCTCTAAAAATATGGAACTGTTCAATGCCACCTTGTGTCCGTTATCTGGTATGAGTGGATTTCAAATATGGAAAAATCAAAGAAATAGTCCATTCTAAATGGCGCATCAAGATAAAGCATACATTTTTTTAATGGATGGTAATGGAATGGTAACCCAGGCGAGGCAGTACGCTATCGGTATACGCTGGCGAGGCACCAGGGGTGATAGATGAAAATTAAAAATTAAAAGGCAGATCAATTGGCCCACCGTGATGAATACACCTGGAATTCAGCACGATGCTTTCCAATGGGGACTACGTGGAGGTCGCCTGATAAGGTATATTGCTAGCAATTGGACTGATAGTCCGCATTACTAATAGTCCCTTTCCCCCGCTTAACTGCGGTTGCCAAGTCGCCTGCCATACGTAGCAATTACTGGCAAACCCCATAGAAGGGGGGAAAGGGATTGTTAGAAATGTAGACTGAGAATCCCATTGCTAGCAATATACCCAACCAGGTTGACCTCCTCGTGGTTCCCCTGGAAACTATCATGGTTAATTCCTGATGAATTCATCATGATGGGCTAACTGGCCTGTTTTCATTCTCATCTATCACCCTTGACTGGTGCTCCGCCAGCGTATCCCGTTAGCATAACATTTTCACCCATCAAAAAAAAAACACCCCATAGAGGAGGCCTATGTTCAGCAGTGGATAATTAACAGCTGGTATCATCAAATATTAAATAGTTTATAAATACCAATTTTAGATTTTTTTATTTTAGTGCTTATTGCAGTAAGTTATTTAAAATATTCGATGCACAGACTGGTACGGTAACAAAGATCAAATAGGTTAAAACTAATATATATTTACTCTCTGACTTTGCATTTCATCACATTATCTACTTAAATCGATGTAAATAAGTGGTCATATTAATAAAAAACTTATATTTTTAAAAGCCATTAGATGCTTAATTCACATATTTAGAAAACTCACTCAAAAATTCCTTTTACAATTAAATGGCTGCTGGAAATAATTTCCAAAATTGTTTAACAAAGTAAAATTAAATTAAAAACGGTTGTATACGAGTATGCCACGACTGTATTTTTAATTATCACTACATAGTATAAAACAAAGTCGCTTCCCGTCTGTCTGTCCGTATGTATGCTTAGATCTATAAAAGTACGCAACGGATTTTGATGCAGTTTTGCATGCCGACGGCGCTATTTAGAATCAACTTTGGACCCGTGCGAAGCCGGGGCGGGTCGCTAGTATGTCCGTCCCTATGTATGCTTAAATCTTTAAAACTACACAACGGATTTTAAAGTGGTTATTTTTTAACAGATAGAGTGATTCAAGAGGCAGGTTTATATGTATAACACAGTAGAGAAACACCGATAATTTTAGATTTCTAATGTGATAAGATGTAGTGTGCACCCGTGCGAAGCCGGGGCGGATCGCTAGTGATATGTAAAATGTGTTTTACAAAAAAAACTGACTTCAGTTGTGGTAAAACCAGTTATTTTGACATAGAAACTACATTACTGATTTTTATGAAAACAAATCTGTTAACATGTCCTCTTGGATAAAAAAAAGAATGTTTAATGTGTTTACAACTGACAGAGTTATGAGGTTATTTTGTATTCGCATATGTTTTCCGTTTGCTTGAGCACCTCTGTTCCATTCGTGTTTCTACCATGAAGCAGTTGTGTTTGCATGGCTGTGTTTCGGTTTGAAGGGTGGGATATGGCAGTAAATTTACAGGATACAGAGAAATGACACCTGAGTCCTTACGAATGGCAACGCATGGGGGGTATCATGGGCGAAACAGTATACTCTGTTATCTCTATGGTACTGCTCACGTCTATAGGCGACGGTTACCACTTTCCATCAGGTGGGCCGTCAGCTTGTTTGCCATTCTAAGTTGCATAAAAAAATGTATGACAATGAAATTACAAGGTATGGAGGCATAATTCTTTACTCCTCGGGGATGACAACGGATGTGAGGTATCACGGGCGACACAGTGAATTCTATGACGTCCGTGATCATGTCTATTGCTGACAGTTACCACTTTTTATCAGCTAATTTGCCATTCCAAAAATGCATAAAGAAGTAGCTTCGTTAATCAGAGAGTATCAATGAAACTTCGGATACAGAGTAACCATGCTTTAAATATAAATAAAATGCCGCCAATTCTAACGTGCCATTTTTCTAAACCTGTCTTTTAACTTTATAATTTTATTTGACAATATCGCGAAATTACTGTTTCGTGGGTCATTATAAACTAAAATTACAATAATTTTGTCTTAAATCTATTAGAAAATGTGTTGATATTAATTCTTAAAATAAAGATTTCGTTAAAGTATAATTAATATACAAATAAAGTAATTAATTCGTTCATTATGATATTAAAATAAAATTTCAATTTTAGAGACACATTTTGAGAAATGACCTCTTAGAATTGACCTCATTAACGCTTTTGTCTTAATTCTAGAAAGCAATGTTGCTAATTATCTAATTATTGATAATAATGTCCGAGAATTATTTACACACCTAAAATAAGCATTTAGAGTAAGAGTTAAAATACTTTTTGTTTTAAATTCGTCATATTGCATTGAAAATTCATTAGAATCCTAAACCGTCATACATATCGTTCAGTCAATAAATCTATAATCGAATGTATAAATAGCAAAATTAATAAATACCTTTACAATTTGGAATTCAATTATAGTTAATTGATGGCAAGTTTCGTAGCCGCGATATTTTAACGCCGCGTACTACAAGATACAAGTTTATATGCGTATGAACGTCGCGCAGACGCGGCGAAGAATCGCGAACTAGTTGTAATGAATCCACAGCAGCGTGCGGGCGCAGTGCTCGCCGCGCCGCGCCGCCTCGCGCCGCCTCAATGTCACAACAGTTTGTTCACATTTCCTTCACCAAGTACTCAACACGTTACACTAAAAGCCTAAGCAGCCCTATTGTTTTTAATTAATGATAACGGAATGGTAACCCCGCCTGCGTTATCAGTATACGCTAGCGGGGCACCAATCAGTGGTGATAGGCGAGGTTGAACGCAAATAAGTTGGCCCATAGTGACGGATTCAACAAGAAATAATATTTCCTAAATGTCTATCCTCAAATCCCATGGGACTATTAGTGTAATTCCTGGAGAATTCATCACAATGGGCTAATTCTACTAACTTCATTTCCATTCATCATCAGTCAATGATGCCCCGCTAGGGTAAAATATACAAAAATTGTGCCCCACAAATATAATCGACTTCAATTGTGACAATAGCAGTTATTTGACTTAAAAACTAAACTACTGTATCGATTTAGATAAAATTTCTATGGAACTAATCTGTAAATATATTTTTTCAGATAAAAAAGAATTTTTCCAATTTGGTTTAAAACTGACGGAGTTAGATGTAATAAAAATAAAAAAAAAATACAACCGAATTGAGAATCTCCTTTTTGAAGTCGGTTGACAATAGACAGGCGAGGTTACCATTCCATTTTCGTCCGTTAACAAAGTCAGACCCGTATACTAATATGATTGGACAGGTTTTTTTTTTTAATATATCTACAGTAGTAAAAATAATATAAAACTTATTTTAACCTTTGTTTTAACTATTTTTTAGAAAGTTTATATGGATTTAAAACAGCTAATTTAATCGTGACAAATTTATTATAAAACAAATAAAAGAGTCGACCTTTTCGACCGCGTAAAGAATTATTAAAATCGGTTCGGAATTGGCGAAGATATCTCCGTAACATACGCACAAAAAAATATAGACAAATAAGGTGACTTCAAAATGTAATCCACCTATTCTATATGCACCTACACAATAAGAAATATTTTATGTTCAATGGGTAGTATCTAAGGCATAATATGAAGCAAATCAAGTTGTCAGCATAGCATGGCCGCCGTATCAATAGAGCGTCGAGGTCTGCCAGTTTCTATGAACGCACTTTCACTGGCATTAACATTAACCGTGGCTCACGATCCAGACAGAGAGACAACGCATCGATCATAGTTTATTATCAACATTATCTCATAATATTGAATACCTTGGCGAATTACTAGTTTTAACCCGTGACTTCGACCGCGTAATAGAGGTATATAGTTTTCTTTAATTCAACTTAGAATGGCAAACATGCTGACGGCCCACCTGATGGAAAGTGGTAACCGTCGCCTATAGACATGAGCAGTACCATGGACATAACAGAGTGTACTGTTTCGCCCATGATACCCCCATGCGTTGCCATTCATGAGAACTCAGGATTGACGGAGATAAAAGGTAATTCATCCCATATACTATGTATATACGAAATTTTATAACGATTGATTAATTCGTTAAGACGCCAAGTACCATTTATAATATTAATTATTTTTAACTTTATTTATTTTTATTTCTAATTTTACATCTACAATCAACAGCTTATATCTTATATAGAATAATTTAAAAAATATTATATAGTACCATACATTAGCCAATTATAGAATCCCAATTTGTATACCAGACTATATTATGATTATTTTTGGACTGTAGATAATTCGTAAAAAAACAAAATTACAGAGATACTTATTTGAAACGTCGCATCACTGGAAGTTCAGCAATAATTAATGTAAAAGTGTGTTTTATATGTGTGTGTAATGTTGCGTGAATGTAGTGTCTAAATAAACAGTGTCTTGAACGCGTATTGTTTTGTATACACGAAGAGTTATATGCAGCTATTTTCATAACTTCAATAATAAAAATATTACTAAAGACTATTTACCCACTGACTTTGCTGGTGGTTAAATTTAATTTAAAATGAATTTCAGGAAAAATTTAAATAAATACCTATATTGCTCATTCAACTATATAAGTTCCGGCAAGAGTGCAACGCACTCACGAACTGAGGGTTTCGGAGATATATCTATGACTTTTGACTCTACCAAATATAGCGCTACATAAATATGGCACTACCTCTTTTTATATTTCGTTATCTCTTTGCCTAAATGTCATTGGTCACCTCTTATTATTCCAACCGTAGAGTTAAACTACATTACGTACCACAGATATCTCTGCGTCTCTACTTCGTCCTCTAGCTTCTAAAAAAATAAGGCTTCAAAATTCACACATTAATTTTGCGGCATTTTTATTTTTATTTTTTTATACAACTTAGAATGGCAAACAAGCTGACGGCCCACCTGATGGAAAGTGGTAACCGTCGCCTATAGACATGAGCAGTACCATGTACATAACAGAGTATACTGTTTCGCCTATGACACCCCCCATGCGTTGCCATTCCTGAGGACTCAGGTGTTATTCCTCTGTACTCTGTAAATTCGCGCCATATCCCACCCTTTAAACCGAAACACAGCCATGCAAACACAACTGGTTCTCGGTTGAAACACGAATGAGACAGAGGCACCCAAGCAATCGACTTTTGTACAAAGTCTCCCTCTGGTAACAATAAAATTATTACTTTGATACTAACTTCATTCTATAAATTTTCGTATTTATTGTCATGCAAGAAGTTTATGATACAATTCCATTTTATCTCCAAAATTAACATCGATTTAATGAATGAGTTTCATACAAAGGGACCCCGAATACCAAAGTTGGCAGCCGAACGTATCAAATGCTTTTAAAGTGGGCTAACTATTGAGCAAGGTTTAAGGTCAAACGATCATAATGCACAGAGATCACTGAACGAATTTATATTGTGTACGCTCCACGCCCGACCCGACACATTGACTGGCAGAGTAACGCTGTATTTGGTCATTAATATTGTTACGCTAGTTACTGATGAATATTTAAAAACCTATTAATATTTAACAGCAGCAGTCTTCTATTTGCCTACAATTTTCCTTATGAATGAATAAGTTAAAAGGCATTTTGTTGCCTTCAAAACTAAATTTAAATACATGAAATGTGTTGATAACAATCCTATCCTTGTCCGCATGGGGAGAAGGGCTTGTTACGAGTAGTAATGCTGGCTACCAGTCGCATTGCTAGCAATATACCCTGTCAGGTCGATCCCATATGGTTTTCTCTGGAAACCATCGTACTGAATTTCAGATCTATTCATCACGATGGGCTAACTGACCTGCTGTTTCATCATTCACCTATCATCCCTCACTGGTGCCCCGCCAGCGTATACCGTTAGCGCGGGCGGGGTTACCATTCCATTATCATTTATTAAAAAAATCCTTATCGGTAATACTTGTATAATACAAATGTCAAAGTCAGTATGTTTGTTGTTTAGATCATTCACAGCAAAGGTTACGACCGAATTATTTCTAAGTTATACTTAGAATAACAAACAGGCTGACAGCCCATCTGATTGAAAGTGGTAACCGTCGCCTATAGATATAACACCTGTGTCACCAGTAATACTCTTCATGCATTGCGAACAATGTTCAACATTTCTGATTGATTAATTACAAAGTTTGCTGATAGCAAATTAAAATGGTATCAAGAAAAAGCGCTATACCTGCAGAAGTCAGAGACAGGATCCTAGACAATAATGTTAAACAGCAAAAAAGACAGATTTAGAAAAAATTTGAAATAAACTTTAAATATGTTTCTATAAAACAGAATTTAAGATATTTTGTTGTATATATTATATCAGTAAGATGTTTAAGTTTTTTTTTTTTTTTTTAGATGAGTAAAAATGGTATAGTAACGCCGCCTGCGCTAACAGGATACGCTGGCAGAGCACCAGTGAAGGGTGATAGATGAGAATGAAAACAGGCCAGTTAGCCCATCGTGATGAATTCATCAGGAATTAACCATGATAGTTTCCAGGGGGAACCGCGAGGTCGACCTGGATTCTCAGTCTCCATTACTAACAATCCCTTTCCCCTCAGATGTGTAAGTTAGAAAGAGGCTTTTATATTTGGTCCTGAATTAAGCTTCAACGGCTGCAATTATTTCAGATAGTTATTGGCCCATCTAATGGAAAGAAAATACGTAAATAATAAAAATATTTATTTTATTTTACCCTTTATTGCACCAAGTAAAAAAAAACAAATACAGTAAATAATAATGAGAAGTTATACATATCGCTAAGCAATCTCTTCCAGACAACCTTTGGGTAGAAAACATAAAAGAAAATGACATAAATAAATAAAGATATAAATAAAATAACATAAGATTTTGTTTTACAAAAAAAAAATATCGTCTTTAATTATTTGTCATAATTTTTTTTTTTTTTTTTTTTTTTTTTTTTTTTATGCAACTTAGAATGACAAACAAGCTGACGGCCCACCTGATGGAAAGTGGTAACCGTCGCCTATAGACATGAGCAGTACCATGGACATAGCAGACTATACTGTTTCACCCATGATACCCCCATGGGTTGCCATTCCTGAGGACTCAGGTGTTATTCCTCTGTACCCTGTAAATTCACGCCATATCCCACCCTTCAAACCGAAACACAGTCATGCAAACACAACTGCTTCACGGTTGAAACACGAATGGGACAGAGGTGCCCAAGCAATCGACTTTTGTACAAAGTCTCCCTCTGGTATAATTATTTTAATTATCCAGTTATTTTGATTTAAAAGCTAAACTACTGAACTGAGGGTCTACCATGAAATGTTTTCCGAAATTTCGGAGCCAAACGAAACACAAATTTGATGTTAAAATTACATAATACATGCCGTTTGGAAATATTAAAAATGTTAAAATATTGTTCCTTTAAACTTTTATGATAGGATGTATGACGAACGAAATGTTAATCTCCATTTATTGGCCCGATTTTGGTATAAACAAAAACACGAAATTGAGTCCGAAATATCGGAATTTAATTTCATGGAAGACCTGCAGATTTTAATTTTTTTTTTTTTTTATTAGACCAATCTGTGAGTATATCCTTTCAAATAGAGAATTTTTCAAAGCGGTTTACAAATAATGAAGTTACGAGAGAATTAACATAAAAAACTACAATCGAATTGATAACCTCCCTCTATTTGAAGTCGGTTAAAAATAGGAAGTAGGTTAAGGAGCAATATGTTTAGTGGTGAATATATTATGTGCAAATCCTTTGCATTCTATTCTATACGTTTTTTTCATAAAAATATCAGGCATCATAGCGTTTTATGGTGTTTTTTATAGTGATAATGTTCTAGTTGACCATAGAGCCAGCAAATACGAACATTACATTCCGGATACGATGCGATAAAATCTTTTTTAAATTACAAAATAACTTCGCAGTTCCATGGGTTTATGGCAGTGTCGGTTAAATATGCCATAAGAAGGCCGGTAAAATGTATAACAATATATAAAAAGTACCTAATTATTACTACAATCTTTTCATCTTATCGGTAATACAAATTCTCTTTCAGTATTACATGTATGGAAGATCACAGTTGACTAAATTTCTGTGTTGAGTAAATTTAAAGTGCTCTGTAAAGTATGATCTTAATATCAGTAATTGGAACGTAGAAATTAAATTCTAATTCATTAATTAATTCTAAGTTACATAAAAAATATTAAAAAAAAATATATAAGCAATTAATTTTATAAAACACAGAACACCTTATAGAATACAGAGTAACTAACATTGAAATAATAGATAGTGGAAGACAGGCCTTTACCAATAGATAAAACATTTGTGGTTGACACGCCATGTTTTTACTTTCTATTCTTGTCGTTTTACAGTTTTTTTTGTTCACACAAGCCAATCAATAGATTATTGTTTAGGTCTTCATTACCCACCAATCTACATAATTCTCTAAACTTCTCAAGGCACGGGCACATTTCTCATATTTTGTATACCACCATCATGTTATCTTTAGTTGCTAGTTTTACTACCTGTCTTTCTCGTTTGAGCTGCTTTGTCCAATCTCGTTAATATTCGTCCGCCATATTGAGTCTCTACCATACATTCTTTTCTCGCACTTCTTTGTCTATGAAAACTTATCACAACACATTGCTCTGTGTATTGCTTAGTATCGTAGTCCTTAATAAGATCAATAAACATAGTAACTTAGGCAGTTGCGTTCAATTTAAAATTCGGTTTCTATCTATTATACAATATATTTCTCTAACATGAATCTAAATTAATTAAAATTAGACGTAAAAATACATATAGAAGTAATACTTGGTTTAGTTTAAGTTTTTAGTAGTTTAGTTTAATATTCGCAACACTTACAAAAGTTCTTGTTAACAAAACTATGAATTCTCTAAACATATTGTTTCTAAATAATTTACAAAGAAGCCTTATCTAATTAGTATATCTAATTATCTTATTAGCAATAGCTAATTCCAAGAAAAATCCTCCTAAGGACAGACATATTCCGAATAGATATAAGCGCCAAGGAATTATAAGGAATAATTGCAAAGGTTTGTGATGAAAAGAATGTGTCTTCATGTGGTCGTGGTAGAGATCATTTTTTATTTTTTCCAACAAACCATTTTCTCGTAAACGCAATGCTAATATATGTAACCGCTCGCGTATCGGAAATCCTTTGTACATGTAAATACCGTATATTATTTTACTTAGAGGATTGGGAAAACAATAAACGGATGGTACTCCCCACTCATCATAAAATCTATGCTTATTATATGAATAAATGCTTTTTAGAATTATTGTAAACATATCTTCATTCCGACTAACCATTGTCATACTTTGTGTAAGACTGTTACACTGGTTTACCACATTTTTGTATGGCTTCATCCCTTCCACCGACTGAAATTTCTGTATAACCGGACTAATACAAGCTTTTAAATTAAATGAGTGTAAATCTTCCTCCTTGGAAATCTGGTAATCTTTCACTGGATGCGTACTCAAACTAACCAGGCTGGACTGATAGTATGAATTGACAAGAAACGCAAACCAAATCCACGCGATGAAGAAACATCTTATTGGAAACCTGCCGCGAACTTCGTGCCCGTGTTGAAAGAAACTGTCCCACATCTTCAACATTATGGAATTCTTATCTTTCACTGAGAATAGTGCAAAAAATATAATAGAATAAATTACAAAAGTCAATATGAGCAACGCCCATACAGTTGGCTGGAATTCCAAATATATGTTCCGCCAAATGGCTACATCAGTTGCCCTTTTTACCACAAACCGCAGATCATCAACATATGCCAGATGTCCCCAAATGTAATCGAACGCATCCGCTCTGGAATTTATGAGCATCATTCCACCTATTATAACGTCCACTTTGTTGTTCTGCAACAGAGCCAGAGAGCCCACAGCAGACATGTTATTATTTACAGTTGTAAAATTTTCTGCGTTGTATCCGAAAATATATTTTAGCTCGAAATTTTCTAATTCGCTGATGATTTGAAACATGTACTGTTCTATACCTGTCATTGCTGTTATATTTTTGTTTGGATCAATGCTGTAGGGTGGCCAATGTGGAGCCACGATGAGGATCAAACAGTTGCGAAAACCGGTGGTCAATTTGTTTGGAAATATATCATCGACTGCAGGCTTCCTGCACTTTCCGTAATGGATAATTCTTGTGAAATGCTTTCCACAGCCATAATTTTCAAATGGATTATATGTATACAGGTCACAATCACTCGTTCCGTTTACAACTACGACATTTACGACATGAAATTTTAAAAGAATATTAAATATATCTTCGAGCTTTGCTTCGACAAGTGATTTGATTATAATTAGAAACCTGCCGTTAGGATTCCATTGGGATTCTCGTGTGAAATATATAAATTTGTTAATAAGCTCTTCGACATTTCTTGTGAAAATGATGTAGCCTTTGTTTACGATTGTTTTTAATCTCTTCTTATATGTCCGTGAAATCAACGATACGTGTATATTATCGTTGATTGCTTGAATTACCTTATCGTCGTCAGAATTGGCATCGAAGTATGTAATCTCATCTCCTTTTGTTAAATACTTTCTTGTAATGTTAGCGACACAATCTACGATGTCACCTCTTTCTTCGTTTATTTGGAAAACTTTATGACTATTTATAGAGTTCATTAGAAATAGCACTATCACTACTGCCAACATTTTGAACGATGTGCTCATAATATCTTTTCCCCACTCATTTCTATTCATAGAATAGAAACGAAGTGAGGTGTAAATCAATCACTGTCCTAGTCCGTTTAATGTTTATAAATGTATTAATTACGACAACATCGCACCGCGTCTGCTATTGCGTGTGATATTTGACTAAATTATAATAATAGTTACCTACATATTGATTTGTTAGTCTTCCAGGTATATTTATATTATGGTTAATTTATATCGAACGGAACGTGTACCGCATATCGGAGCGGATTGAATACGCGCGGTTACCTGTTACAACAGTCGACCACATCTACCGTAATAAAAATAAGCAAATAAGTAAAGCAGTTGTGTTTGCATGGCTGTGTTTCTGTTTGAAGGGTGGCATATGGCGTGAATTTACTGGGTACAGAGTAATAACATCTGAGTCCTCAGGAATGGCAACGCATGGGGGGAATGATGGGCGTAACAGTATACTCTGTTATGTCCATGGTACTGCTCATGTCTATAGGGGACGGTTACCACTTTCCATCAGGTGGACCGTCGGCTTGTTTGCCATTCTAAGTTGTATAAAAATAAAAAATAAAAAAAATACCTCTTTTTAAGAAACTTCCTGCAAGTTTTTTTGTGGCAATGTTACACGATTGCATCACCAAGTCTGAACCGATTTTCGAAATTCTTTTGAATAATCCACAGAGTTTAGGTTCTTAGGCGTAGGTCTCAGATTAATTTTTTGATGACTGAAGTCTTCGTTTCTATTTGCAAGGCATAAAATTGCTTATTACGAAGTTTCTTGTAAATATGCGATTTAAATATAAACATTTATCAATGCGATATGTTCACTAAATATTGTATCCCACATGGTAATATGTTTGTTTACATCTGAAACCATTATTTACGGAACAAACTGTACTTGTTCATTATCATGGGCGAAACAGTATACTCTGTTACGTCCATGGTACTGCTCATGTCTATAGGGGACGGTTACCACTTTCCATCAGATGGGCTGTCTTATTTGCCATTCTAAGTTGTATAAAACAAAACAAAACAATAAATTTTTCGATTTCTACAACATACATCTGGCATGGCGGCTGTCTTCGATATACGCGTGCAACCAGTTGTAATAATGGAACAAAAATATAAACAGAGTTATTACAGACAACTATATTTGTTTATTACCCAAAAACGAATTCAGACAAACCGACGGCCATCCTCATGGAAAATGTCCAACAATCACCTATATACGTTGGCATTGCCTTTATACCATCACTTCACTATCATATCAAACCAAAATACAGTAATTGAAGCCGAAAAAATGAAAACAACTTTTTCATTGCCTCATTGTAAAGTCATGTCGCCCTCACACGCGCCTTGTTGTTAATGCATTTGATGTAAATCGTGCGAATAGTAAACTAATATGGAACAATACAATGTTAAATAAATAAAATTAATAGTACGTTTCGCTAATGTTTTTTTTTTATATGGTACCTATTAGTACTCCTACTCTACTGATGAAGTAGGCCACTAGAACCAAGAACTGGGAAAGAGGCAGCAAGAATAAGAAATGTAGAGATGACTTAAAGAAAATATATGGGAAATTATGGGCCAGAATCGTTTTGAAGAAACAAGCTTAGATGAAAAAGCTCGACTAGTTTTAGAGCCTGTCTGTATGCCTCAATCTGCTCAACGCGAGCTGTAGTCTCGTGCTCGCGTCACAATCGCTCATGACTAAGGGTCACGAATTGATTCCGAAACAAGTCGAACCTTATCGAGCTAATTACACGTAAGTTAAACTAGTAGTTACTATATTAAAATATAATGTCTGCTTACGAAGCTTCTAACAATAAAAAAGCGTAGATAAAGTTGGTGGAGACCTTTTTTTTATATACAACTTAGAATGGCAAACAAACTGACAGCCCACCTGATGGAAAGTGGTAAACGTCGCCTATAGACATGAGCAGTACCGTGGACATAACAGAGTATACTGTTTCGCCTATGATACTCCCCATGCGTTGCCATTCTTGAGGACTTAGGTGTTATTCCTCTGTACCCAATAAATTCACGCTATATCCCATCCTTCAAACCGAAACACAGCCATGCAAACACAACTGCTTCACGGTTGAAACACGAATGGGACAGAGGTACCCATGCAATCGACTTTTGTACAAAGTCTCCCTCTGATACCAGACCTATACCAAAGACTAAAGATATTTAAGTCTTTGTGTGTTTACTGTTTAATAACATCTATGAAGCGTTTATAACATTTATAGTTTATTTATTTAATAATATTGAAGTCTGTTTTAGTGGAACAAATACTTAAATTGAGCTTTGTATGTTTTCATCTTTACTCTCAGGAAACAAAAATTGATTTCAATAAATTAAATTATATTACATATATACAATAAATAGCTTGAAATATAAGTAGATACAAAATAATATGCCTGTTCAAATAAAACCAATGGTATTTTTATTATTATTTTATTGCTATTTTTATTGATTTTTATTTTTTTTTACTTTCCGCAGTTTCTTTATATTTTAATATATACGTTTCTCAGTATATAATAAAAAGAGACAATTTCGATAGGTATGCATAGTCAAATCAATTATTGTTCACTTTGTGTAATGTAATAACATTAGTAATTATTAATACTTAGTAGACCAAACAGGCAGCTAAAGTAAAATATATATATATATATATATATATATATATATATATATATATATATATATATATATATATATATATATGTATATCATCATCAAGTTATTGAAAAAAGTAAAATTCAAAACCGCACTCACAAAAGTGAGCTTTCCCCATTTTGAGATCACTCGTAGGAACAGTTAACTCCACCTCTTAGTAACTATATTTTTGGTGTTCTCTTAGAAAAATGCTTATATCGCGCCAAAAATGTATACCTCGCTAACAAAATTACTCCATTTTTTTTTTACAACACAGGGGGCAAACGAGCATGCGGCTCACATGATGGTAAGTGACTACCGCCGCCCATGATCACCCACAACACCAACGGCATTGCAGGTGTGCTGCCGGCCTTTTAAAAAGGAATATACTCTTTTCTTAAAGGTTATGTTGTCGTATCGATGCGGAAATACTGTTGCTGGAGGTTGATTCCAGAGAATGGTTGTGCGTGGAAGAAAGTGCCTTGAAAAACGCACGGTAGAAGACCGCCACTCGTCCAGATAATTGGGATGAAACTTTAGATTGTGGCGGGTTGTACGGTGGTGAAAATCAGCAGCAGGTATCAATCCGAACAATTCCTTAATTCCTAAGGACACTTAAAATAATAAACTCACTTTAATCATATCATTTAAATACAAATTAAAATATATATTTATACGAGTATTAGGACTTTATATTCTCTTACAATAGATAAGCAGTATTTTTTTATCTACCGCCTAATTTTAGAATACAATTTCAGTTGGGAAGAACAGGCATAAACATAAACTATTACTCTTTAAAAAAATAACCATACCATAGAATATTATTATTAAACTTTACTTCCAAATTTAGATGTATGAAATTACAGAGTTAAGCAAGACTAGTCCCTCTAAATAGCCGTTCACGAGTATGACAAATCAACTAGCCATAATTACGTCCAACCGCACGCCGTCGCTGATTGTGTATTAATTACTGGTGCTACTCGTTTACAAGCAATGTGACTAACGTTCCGAACTGTGCCTAATAAATTTTTTGACAACCACAAACTCTAATATAAATACAGCTACAGACAAGCACATTCCAAATATGTATAAATACCACGGAATTAAAAGGAATAACTGTAAAGGCTTTTGGTGAAAGTGATGTTTTATCATCCGCTCGTAGTAAATATCATATACACTTTTGTCCAACAATCCATTTTCGCGCAAACGCAACGAGACACTGTGTAGCCGCTCATGTATCGGAAACCCTTTGTACATGTAAATACCGTATATAATTTTACTTAGAGGAATGGAAAAACAGTAAACAGATGACGCCCCCCATTGGTTATAAAATTCGTGCTTATGGTATAAGTAAAGGCTGTTCAGAGTTATCGTAAATATGTCGTCATCCTGACTGACCGACTTCATGCTTTGCATCAGACTGTCACACTCGTCTATCATGTTCATGTAAGGCTTCATTCCTTCCGCCAATTGAAACGTCTCTATGGCTGGACTGATGCAAGCTTTCATATTGAAATAACGTAATTCATCCTCATTGGAAATCTGGTAATCCTTCGCTGGATGATTGCTCAAACTAACCAGGCTGGACTGATAGTAGGAGTTGATAAGAAACGCGAACCAAATCCACGCGATGAAGAAACATTTTATAGGAAACCTGCCGCGAACTTCGTGTCCGTGTTGAAAGAAACTGTCCCACATCTTTAACATTATGGAATTCTTATCTTTCACCGAAAATAATACAAAAAATATAATGGAATAGACTACAAAAGTCAACGTCAGCAGCATCCACACTGTTGGCTGGAATTCCAAATACACATTCTTCCAAATGGCTACATCAGTGGCACTCTTTACCATGAACCTGAGATCATCAATATATGCGAGATGTGCCCAGATGTAGTCGAATGCATCAGCTCTGGACTTTATAAGTATCATTCCACCTAATATGACATCAGCTTTGTTATATTGCAACAGAGCCAGCGGGCCGACGGCAGACATGTCTTCATTTACAGTCGTAAAGTTTTCTGCGTCGTCGCTATAAATGTATTCTACATCGAAATGTTCTAATTCGCTGATGATTTGAAACATGTACTGTTCTATTCCTGTCGATGGTGTAACATTTCTGCTTGGATCGATACTGTATGGTGGCCAATGCGGTGCAGAAATAATGATCGTACAGTTCCGGAAGCCGGTGATCAATTTGTTTGGAAATATATCGTCGACTGCGGGCTTCCTGCACTTTCCGTAGTGGATAATTTTAGTGAAACGCTTCCCACAGCCGTAATCTTCAAATGGATTATACGTGTACAGGTCGCAATCACTCGTCCCGTTTATAACTACGACGTTAATAACGTGAAACTTCAGAAATACATTGAATATATCTTCGAGCTCTGCGTCGAGTGACTTAATTATAATTAGAAATCTGGCGTAAGGATTCCACTGCGGTTCACGTGTAAAGTATACAAATTTGTTAACAAGCTCTTGAGCGTGTCCTGCGAAAATGATGTAGCCTTCGTTGGGTATTGTTTTTAGCCTTTTTGTAAGTGTCCGTGAAATAAACGACGCGTGTATAATATTGTTGATCGCCTGAAATACCGTATCATCGTCAGAATTGACATCGAAGTATGTAATCTCGTCTCCCTTTGAGAAATACTTTCTTGTTATGTCGCTGACACAGTCTAATATATCTTCTTTTTCTTGGCTTATTTGATAAATTTGATGACTATATATGAAATTAATTGATAGGAACAACGTGAGTGCGGCCAACATTTTGAGTAGTGTATTTATAAAAACTTTCTTTTTTTCTACTCAAATTAATTGTTATATAGAATCGTCGTTCAGGTGCAAATCAATCATAGCCTTAATGCCCCATTTGATCAGTCGCTAAGCCGATGGGTCCATTAAATGTAAATACATGTGTTACGATAGTGACCGTCCGCGTCCTAATTGGGTGCCTGCATGAAGTGACGTTCGACCGAACGGCCACAGCAGTAAAACACCCGATAAAATGTTTACGACCGTTTTATAATTACACTCATCTATAATATTACAGCAAGTACAGGATGAAGTTTCCTGTCTCTCTCTGTCAATTTTCCAAGTGGATGCCCCAAATTTGAAACTATAAGAAATTATGAAAAATATTCATCTGATTCTTTATAAAATTTTTATAAAAGTTAGATTACTGTTTTTCAACGTCTTGGCCAATCTTCAAATAAAATACACAATATCATCAAGACGCGCTGCAACCATCAACCACCCAACAAAGACAACTACTCGTAACACAACATTCAAGCAACATGGACTTATAGGGGGGAAAGGGGATTGTTAGCAATGGAGTTTGACAGCTCCATTGCTAACAACATGCCTTATTAGGTCGTCCTGCACGTGGTTCCCCCTGGAAAACATCGTGAATGATTCTCATTGAATTCGTCACGATGGGCTAACTGACCTACTTCATCCTCACCTATCATCCTTCACTGGCGCCCCGCCGGTGTATACCGATAGCGCGGGTGGGGTTACCATTCCATTATTATCCATTAAAAAAACACATGGACTTGTGAAACATATTTTCATCTAATATATGTACCCATATTCGTGCAATCAATGATTTGAAAAACATTCAACAAACACACCAGAGTCATCCAACACCCGACATACACCGAACACACAACCATTCACAAATTCTCATACCCAACGAAATAGAGAGCGAGGTAGAAAAAGGACATAAAAAACTATCAACAAGGGACATTATGTGCCTTTTTTCCTGTGGGTTACAGGACGGGGTATATATTAAAGCCACACAAGTGAGAAGTCGAGAAGGTGAAAACCAAGTTAATAATATTCACACGCCAAAAGTATAAAAAAATATCGTATCTTGATCATACCTCATTGACTTTTGCTCTCGCAAAGAGTAAACTGTGGTGTCGATAAAAGTAAACGTATTCGCATGTATCTTAGACCAAGTACTATATCCAGAGAGCTTGTTTCATTTAACATAAGCAACTTGTGAGTTTATTATATCCAAAAAATGTTATAACGCCCTGTGCTAGTGCAATAAAAGAACATATTCAGGCTGCCACTTGAGTTGCCTGATGCTGTACTGAACGGGTATTTGCCTATAAAAAGAATATTCTAGCCTACTATCGTTATACTGGCTAAAAAGTCGAGTATTCACCTCACTGATGATGATAGTTGAACGACATTCTAGATATGACCAGAGGAAGACTTTGTACAAATGTCGATTGCTCGGGTACCTCTGTCCCATTCGTGTTTCAACCGTGAAGCTGTTGTGTATGGCTGTGTTTCGATTTGAAGGGTGGGATATGGCGTGAATTTACTGGGTACAGAGGAATAACACCTGAGTCCTCAGGAATGACAATGCATGGGAGGTATCATGGGCGATACAGTATACCACTTTCCATCAGGTGGGCCGTAAGCTTATTTGCCATTCTGTTGTTAAAAAAAAACATGAATAAATGTTGTATTCAAGGGGGGAAGAGATGCGGATTACCAGTCCCATTGCTAGCATACCCTTTTAGGTCGACCTCCACGTGGTCCTCTCTGGAAACCATCGTGCTGAATTTCAGGTGTATTCATCATGATGGGCTAACTGACGTGCATTTTTATCTTGTACGTATACCGTTACCGCAGGCAGGTTTACCATTCACTCCGCTACACATAACTATACCATTATAATGCTATAATCGATTCCCATTTGTAAACTCAATATTAAGAACTTAAAATTAAAAATTAATATACTTTTAAGTGAGTAATCAGTTCTAATCAAATTAGTCTTAATTACTTAATTAACACTAATTTGATAAACATTCAATTCTCTATTATTTTCTCTTTAATTCGTATTTTTTATGACTATAATTTAGATGTTATGTATGTATTTAATGTTATGAAAATTAACTCTAATTATCATAATATATATATATATATATATAGTTTTTTTTTAATATTTTTTAATTCAATTCACTCATAATCGTATATTCTGATATTGCTCACAACTCAGGTTACATGTTTATTTTTATTATTTACTTCATTTTCTTGCACTGTATAATTATGTTAAAGTGAATGCTGTGAATACCTTTTTTTTTTTTACAACACTGGGGGCAAACGAGCATGCGGCTCACCTGATGGTAAGTGACTACCGCCGCCCATGGTCACCCACAACACCAGCGGCATTGCAGGTGTGCTGCCGGCCTTTTATATAATATATACTATAATAGGCGTGTGCATTAATATTGTACTATATTGAATGTTTGTTATTTATACCTATATGTTATAATGCAATATGCTGTTGGTGTTCCTTAAATAAATAAATAAATAGATGTTCGAAAAATATATCACATCGAACCGGTTTATTTGAAAAAAAGCACACCCTGTATTATTACGCCAATAAATATTGCCGCTTATGATCACGTTCTCTGAAGTAATTTATCAGACAGCAAATTAAGGGGAAAGGATTATTTTTAATATAACACTTTTATATTTTTCTAACACATTATATATTATTTCTACCAACTTGGAATTATTAGTCGTAACTCATACATGATAATTATACAAAACAAAACGTATTTAAAACTTGAATTAATCATTAAGTTAATAGACCTAGATTACAGTTCCACGTAATCCATAATGTACCCACTCCACTTGAAAAATAACCGATAGCTGCTCAAGCTGTTCTAGTATATTAAGGCTTGTTTTTTAATGGATGATGATGGAATGGTAACCCCGCCTGCGCTAACGGTATACGCTGGCAGACCACCAGTGAGAGATGATAGGTGACAATAAAAAAGCAGATCAGTTAGCCCATGTGATGAATACACCTGGAATTCAGCACGATAGTTTCCAGGGGGGACCACGTGGAGGTCGGCCTGACATGACAGGGTATATTGCTAGTGGGACTGACAATCTGTATTACTAACAATCCCCCCCCCCCCAAACATTACTGAGTTGTTCAGGTCATTACAAAACAAATGTCCCTTTTAGATCTATTACCGATATCTGTGGAGCGCGGTAGGGAGTGAAGGAGGGGCAGGGGGGCGTGTTTAGAAACAGCGGGTCTACCATGAAATGAAATTCCGAAATTTCGGACTCAATTTCGTGTTTTTATTTATACCAAAATCGGACCAATAAATGGAGTTTAACGTTTCGTTCGTCATACATCCTATCATAAAAGTCCAAAGGAACAATATTTTAACATTTTTAATATTTCCAAACGGCTTGTGTTATATAATTTTAACATCAAATTTGTATTTCGTTTGGCTCCGAAATTTCGAAAAATATTTCATGGTAGGCCCTCAGTACAAAATAAATAAAACACAAAATGATATCAGTCAGTCACTTTAATAAATAATGTCAGGTAAAAAAATCACAATTTCATATAGCTTTACATGATTACGACGACGCTGTACGAACTATAAAACATATGAGTACCTCGCTGATACACACTCGGTGTACGCGACAACGCATCGACACCAACATAAACAAACACCAGCCACGGTTTCCAAACACCGGTTACATTAAAACGTGTTTTAAAATTATAAGAAATCCATAAAATAAATTCTAAACCCAGATTCCAACTATACCTAATTGATTAAAATATAACATCCACGGTCTAAAATGATCACTTTGGTAATTTTCACAGAACAACAATATGTGACAAGTTCAATTGCAAATACCTTTATAAAAAAAAAGGTATTTACCTTTTGAATAAAACAATGAATTTGATATTAATAAGTGATAATTTCAGATCCATTTAAAAACTCAAAAACTTTAATTAATTTTCTAATGCAATCTATAACATTTGAGTTTCTAAAATAAACCCGGCCAACAGATAGCCTTGTGCTCTAACCATAATGTTCAGACAATTCATATATATTGACCTAAACATAACATCAGAGCGTTAAAATATAAGATTATAGGACTTAGATTATATATGTAGTGTCTCCATACAAATACTTCCGAGAAAACGGGTCAACTTTTTCATACAATTTTGCGTGAGAAATAGTCATGAATGATTCCTTTAAACCTTCTATATTTATTTTGTTTTAACAATTCTGCATCTTTTTAATGCGCAAAAACTTATTTTATTTATTAAATAATTAATTTTAATTAATTTAATAATTAAATATTGATACGTCAACATACAATGTGCGCGTAAATAGAACATTAATAAAAAAGAGTCGACTAATTTGACAATTAGCTGACAAAAAGTTGACCCGTTTTTGTCGATTAGCTAAGTACATAATCTAAGGTTGTAGACTATTTTGCATTAATTATAGATCACTATCACAGCAAACAAGCAATGCTATCTTGCCACATTCCCATATAAAAATAATTAATACAGTAAATATAATTAGAGTAGCATAAAATTGGTACTACGTTGTATTGGCAATACGACAACCGTTGGGGAAGAAAGGTTCTTGAGTGGCGACCCCGTACGAGCAAACGCAGTGTAGGACGACCCCCCCCCCTCACTACATGCAATGACGACCTCAAATACATCGCAGGGAGTCAATAGATGCAGGTGGCTCAGGTACCGTTCCTTATGGCAGTCTATGGGGGAGGCCTATGTCCAACAGTGAACGAATAATGGCGGAAATGATGATGAAATATCGTATTCTAAAATGAGAGTATGTTTTGCTTGCCCGTAAAAGTACCCGTAACCGGCGAGCGTGTATGAAAAGATTGATGAATGCGGAAGAAGCGAAAGAGGTTTGTTTGAATCGAAGCATTTGGCGTTCCATTGTTCCTGCCGGGTAGGCAGGCAATGGGAGACAGGCGTGACAGATATGTATGTATGTATGTTTTGCTTGCACCTTGTAAAAACGTACACTGAGTACAACTTGCGATGACAGCTGTCACTCGAGCGCTGTAACTACATCGTTACAGCACCTCACATTGTTTCATAAGACAGTCATTTCTGTCGCTGATTCGTGCATAATTGGCAAACTAATAAATCATCATGTACACTGTAAAATATAAAATAAATTTCTGGCAAACAGAAATTTAAAAATACAAGTACTAATATATACATAAACATTAGCAACGTGAATATTGAGTGAAAGAAAAAAAAAATCCTCAATCTCCTTGACTTATTTTTATTTAAATGTAACAATTATTTTTAAAACTTTGATTCATTTTTATCTCCTCTTTGCTTGGCGTTTTGACTTCATCCGGAAACGCCCTCAGGGTGAGACAGGGTGACACACATTATGTAGAGCAGGGGTGGCCGACTTGACTAGATCTAAGATCTACTGTTTACTGACGAAATCTTGTGCGATCTACCAATTACATACTTCTTGAAATCACAAATGATATGTTGTTTCATTTGTGATTTCAAGAAGTATGTATGTTCAGTGCACAATTATGTAGTATTGTTGTATTTTTTATTTTATTAAGAGGGAAAATATAAAACTGTAAATTATTCTTAGTAACTACTTATTTATATTAGTGTGAGCACTGCGTCTGAGCATTTTCTGTTAGATTAGCAAAATATTATATTTTTTCCCTTGCCACGATCGACTGGGCTAATAACCACGATGGATTGGCCACCCCTGATATAGAGTCGTGTTATGAGACGCAACGCTGCGACGTGAAGCACCGTACTCGCCCTGAAGAAGGCTTCCGCTGAAGTCAAACCATGCATACTACATACCATACATATGTCGTTGAACCATTGTATTAAACGAGAAATACAGTAATTTTATTAAATTCCCATTAACTGATTACAAAATGCAATAATTATAAGAACATTATATGCATCAAGAAGCATACAACTATGTTTCGAGTGGTATTGTTTACAAATTAATTGTGGAATATGCCAAATATACATTTTAAACAGTAGCTGACATTGTAAACAGTGACGTCATACAATGGTTACTGCGTACAATATATAAATAGATTTAATTGATTACCACAAAAAACAAACCGACTTTAATTGTGACAAAACTTGGTTATTTTCATTTAAAAACTAAATTAATGAATATTCAAGAAAAGAGTATATTCCTTTTTAAAAGGCCGGCAGTACACCTGCAATGCTGTAGGTGTTGTGGGTGACCATGGGCGGCGATAGTCACTTACCATCAGGTGAGCCGCATGCTCGTTTGCCCGCTGTTATAAAAAAACAAGATTTAGATAAAAAAAAATTATGGAACCCATAGTTTTCCAAATCGGTTTACAACTGACCGAGTTATGAGGTAACAAACATAAAAAAATAACTCCAATCGGATAGAAAACCTACTTCTCTTTAAAGTCGGTTAAAAAGAGCAAATTTTTAAAACACAACATAGTCCATCGAAGACACGTAGACACGTCTGTGTGACGAACAACTGCTATCATCAACTGATGATTTCAATTATCATCATGATTACTATCACGATCAGAGATATCACTTCCATTGGCCATTGCTTTCCTCTAAAACGCGGTTTAATGTATAAATCAATAGATATGAGCAACACCGCATGTTTCGAGTTTCGTATAACATAAATATCAAATCGTTCAAACAAGCTCAACTCCCAACTACCAGTACAATAGTCAAACAATATTACATATAATGTCATATAGTTATGGTGGTAAATACCAGAGGGAGACTTTGTACAAAAGTCGATTGCTCGGGTACCTCTGTCCCATTCGTGTTTCAAACGTGAAGCAGTTGTGTTTGCATGGCTGTGTTGCGGTTTGAAAGGTGGGATATGGCGTGAATTTACTGGGTACAGAGGAATAACACCTGAGTCCTCAGGAATGGCAACGCATGGGGTGTATCATGGGCGAAACAGTATACTCTGTTATGTCCATGGTACCGCTCATGTCTATAGGTGACGGTTACCACTTTCCATCAGGTGGGCCGTCAGCTTGTTTGTCATTCTAAGTTGTATAAAAATAAAATAAAAAATATATTACCTACATACTTGTCTATCTACTTTATTATTGTATACATATACTGCGATTATAGGTAAATAGCATCTACCTACAATCGCATCATCTCTCTACCAAGCCTTATTATTGATGAAAAATATAGTAAATTTACACCCATTACTCCAATATTGGAATAACACATTTGACTATTATAACTGCCCACCTAAAATAAACAAACATAACAATCCCAGACATTTCAGAGTTGTCCAAAATATAGCTGCAAGATTAAAAAAAAAGGTAATAAAAAATCTAGCTACAAGTATAGATTGTCTATGATAACATGGCACGCTCCGAAGTCCAAACAATTAAAAATGTGTGAGTAAAAATATTTACAAGGTTCCACCATGGAATATATATTTTATTCAACTGTATATTTGTTTATGTATTAATAGTTGTAGCACTTCAGCTGCCCGCTAACGAAATGCTTTCTTACTGTCCTGGGTTGACTGGAAGAGATCTCTGTGCAGAGATAACTCCACCCTTGCTCACAACATTTATAAATACATTATTTTATATGTAACTTACAAGTGCAAGAAAGAATATATATATATATATATATATATATATATATATATATATATATATATATATATATATATATATATATATATATATATATATATATATCCAGTATTCTGACACTTCCCTATGGTTGACTGGGAGAGAATGCTTTTAGCATTAAGTCCGCCATGTACACATATATGTACTAATGAATAAATAAATAAATATAACACTCCTCTGTATTATATAACTCACTTTTATATATATTGCTTTTTTTTGTTTTTCATTCTTTTATCTCTTTTTATGTATATATTATGTGAATGTTTGTATTGTTATTTGTGTGCTGTAAGTAATGCAAATAAATTATCTATCTCTGACCGGACCAGGGGGCCTACCATGAAATGAAATTCTGAATTTTTGGGCTCAATTTCGTGTTTTTGTTCGTACCTAAATCGACCCAGTAAATGGAGCTTAACGTTTCATTCATCATAAATCCTATCCCAATAGTCCAGAGGAACGATATTTTAATATTTTTAATAATTTTAAACGGCATGTATTATGTAATTTTAACATCAAATTTCTATTTCGTTGGTCCCCGAAATTTCGGAAAATATTGCGTGGTAGGCCCTCTGAACACAAACAGAGCACCACGTGTGTATTGGAGTAAGTTGGAGGGACGCGCCATGTTAACGTAACAATCTATAACTACAATTTGTTACCATTTTCAATTACATTTAGACGTTCACACGTAACGCTTCATTCTATCAAAACTTATATAAAGAAATTTAGCACTATGCGTGAATCAACCCTGTTTTATCCGAAACTAAACAGATTTCTATAGCCGACTGTCCTAACTACGTCTGATCTATTGTATAAAACCTAAAAATTTACCCCAACAAAGCCAAAACTAATAATTAAGAAATTATATATAAAATTAACAAGTACCCCCATAAAAGTGCGCACTGACGCTGATTTGTACAACTCTGTCATAACAATACAATCAATAGGGGGGAAAAGGATTGTTAGCAATGGAGTTTGACAGCCCCATTGCTAGCAATATACCTTATTAGGTCGATCTCCACGTGGTTCCCCCTGGAAACCATCGTGAACAATTCTTGTTGAATTCGTCACGATGGGCTAACTGACCTACTTCATCCTCACCTATCATCTCTTACTGGTGCCCCGCCGGTGTATACCGATAACGCAGGTGGGGTTTCCATTATCATCCATTTAAAAAAAAATACAATCAATATCACTTATTTACAAATCATATATATACTATATATACCCGCATAAAATAGTGGCGTGTGATAAGTCGCGTATGTACTAGGCGCTGAGGCACACGCAAAACCGTACCACTAAAACAACATGGCATTTAGATAAAAAAAAACAAATAAACTGAGGCAAATAAAAACATTTACATACGATGAATTTTAGGTACAAGCAAGCAGCTTGCAATCCGTAAACAGGCACCGTGCTAGTGGCATGCCGAGTCGAACCGACTCGAGTTCTGACTCGAATACATCACTAATAATTAGAAACTCGTATAGAGTACTTGCATCGTTTCGTTTTCTTTTTTTTTTTTTTTTTCTTGACTGTCAAAGGAAAATTATTAAATGACTAATCATTTATTAAAAGCTTTAAAAATCAATTAAAAACTACTGTACTGTTTATATCGGTATTCATACTTAGTACTTGTCGAGCCCTCAAACTCGAGTCAGGATCCGAATCATTTTTAACAAGTAGGTACCTAACACTCTAGTAACATAAAAATCGACTCGGCACCTCACGAATCGTGACTAACTTTGTGCACGCATCGCAGAAGGCATATGTGACTTAAGACATTAAAAATATATGACTGCGATAATGAGTGGCAATAATATAAAGAGGCGTATGAGCGAGATAGCTAACGCTGTGTGACGACAGGAACGCACGTACCGCCCACTACACGTACCGGTGCGGACGTCCGACCAACACTAACACCGGTTTGCTATTCACTGATCACTATAGACATTAATGGTAATAGTATTATAGTTTCAATTTGCTACGTTTCATAAATTCTGCAGAACCGAACCGATGGTCCTTCGATCCGGATTGGAAATGTTCAATTAAATATCTTAAACTTGATATTCACGTGTCTATTATACTCCATAAATGAGTCAATCATATAGCAATTAATTTAGCAACAAGTTTTTTTTTTTACAATAATTAATATTTGATATGTCAACGATCCGAGAACCGTCCGCACCACACACACAGCCATTTAAAAGACCTAACCAACAAGCAATACTTATACTTTTAAAATAGTAGTTATTTTAACAAATAGCTACTATCTTTTCATAGCAGTCACACTGCAAAATGGAAGTTATTAGCCATATTTTTAAATATCCAAGCGATCCTCAGTCACGATAGCTGCTACACTGTACCTCCGACGGCGACGGCGACGGGGCATTGCCTGTTGCTTAAATTTAGTCCTAACGTATTTTATATCACGGGTACATTATTATCGTTTAAAAATAGAGCTAATGACTTCGGTTACATTAAGTAACACAATTCTATAAAGTCAACGTTTAAAAATATTTGGGTACAGATGTACCGTACAAACACATCAGTATGTACTTACACAATGAGTAAAAAAATATTGAAAATTGTATAATAAAAGTATAATCAATATTTGTAACTTAACCTCTACGCAGCCAGCGCGACCAGTTCTGACGAGTTCAGACGAGCTGCGGAATAAGCGTTTTGTATTGTAGAGGCAAATATAAAACGAACTGTAAAATAAATATGATTTGATATATCCATCACCGCTAGCCGAGCGGCACTCGACCGAACCATACTCAACACTGTTCATACCGCACCATTTGTTATTATTTCGACAACATACTGCACGCCTTGAGCGCTGGTAGCAACGGGTGCACCATCGGCGCCTGCATCACCGCCGGTGCCTCTTCATCACCGGCGCTGCGGCTGCATCACCGGGGGCGCAGCCGCATCACCGGCGGAGTGGCTGCATCACCGCCGGTTAACGGCGGCCGCCCCGCGTCGTGCGACCCGGAATAAACCGTTGGACATCGCCACCACGGGCGAGAACAGCCGTAGAGGATACTCACTGCCAATTAACACGTCATAAATAATATTACCAGAGGACGACTTTGAAAAAATGTCGTTTGCTTAGGTACATCTGTCTCATTCCTGTTTCTATCGTGAAGTAGAAGTAGTTTGAAAGGTGGGATATGGCAGTGAATTTACAAGGTACAAAGGAATAACACCTGAGTCTTCAGGAATGGCAACACATGGGGGGGATTATGAGCAAAACAGTATACTCTGTTATGTCTATGATACTGCTCATGTCTATAAGGGACGGTTACCATTTTCCATCAGGTGGGTCGTCAGCTTGTTTGCCATTCTAAGTTGCATAAAAAAAAAATTTGTATGAATTTTGTATGAATGTGAAGGCCAGTAAAACAGTGATCTATGTTAAAATTTATGACTTTTTTAAACATAACGCCTAAAGGGATCAGTAGCAAGTTTGTTACTTATATAAAAATTGTAATAAGCACATTTTTACGTAATACTTTAAGACCCATTTTGTATTGGATTACAAATCAACGACAATGCAATTAGAACATAAAAGAAGTAAAGCTAACACTCACCTTCCGATAACCGGCGTGGCCTCATTCCCGCTCAAAATGAACACGGGGAAGAATATTGAGAAGACGCACCCGCTGAAACAACAACGCAACACTTCATCATATAGTCATCAACTAAAGACATTTGGCATTCATTAACACGTTGGGCCCGGCGCCGGTCCCTGGGGACCGGCAGCGAACTTTCCGTGTGGCCAGCGTCGGTCCCTGGGGACCGGCACTAGAATTTTCGTTTGGCTGACGTCGGTTAGTGGGACCGACAGTATTAAAGTTAAAAAATTAAATTAGTCTCAATGAAATGTGATCAAATATAATTTCATACGAAAATATGGAATAGAATCACACATACATTACACATACACCTAAAAAACGTCCAAAATAGCGCGACAAAAAATTCCTTATCTCATTAGTTAGTTAAGCAAACGGTAGCTTTGGCGATAGAAGCAGAAAAAAAAGCTTACTTTGAAAATAATGTAAACTTATGTCTAAGAACACCGAAAACGTTATGGAATAATTTGAGAAATTCTGTATTGATGAAAACAAGATCAACAGAACTGTCAGACTTCTGTGATAATCCTGATGCGTTAAATGCACATTTTATAAATATTCCAGGTAATAATCAGGTTTCAATATCGGCTTTAACATACTATGAATTCAATAAAACCATTACAAATGCATTTACTTTAACAACTGTAGATGAACACCAAGTAGCTAGTATTTTAAATTCATTAAATTCCCAAGCGGAAGGAATAGATCAAATTAGTTTAAAAATGATAAATTTAACTCTGCCGTATACATTGGATATTATTACAATCATAATAAACAAATCTATTTTAACTTCAACTTTTCCAGAAGTTTGGAAAACAGCAATTATAAAACCTATTCCTAAAATACAGATTCCTCTTAGTATTGGGGACCTTCGCCCTATAAATTTACTACCCTGTCTATCTAAAATTTTAGAAAGAGTAGTACATAAACAGCTATATCGGTATATAGAGGCTAATAGATTATTACCCCCCAGACAATCAGGATTTCGCCCTGGATTTAGTACATCTACAGCTCTATTAGACGTTACTGACAGCATTCTCGCAGCTCAAGATCAGGGAAAGGGTACGATCTTGGTTTTACTTGATTATACACGAGCATTTGATTCCATAAATTTAAATCTACTTATTACAAAATTGTCGTTCCTTGGATTAGATTCTAAAACAATAGAATGGTTTCGAAGTTTTCTTACTCTTAGATCTCAAATTGTAGAAACTCAAAGAATGGATGGTACAAAATGTTACTCAGAATCTAAATATGTAACTAGAGGAGTACCCCAGGGGTCAATATTGGGTCCACTTTTATTTACTTTGTATTGTTTTGATATTATTAATTGTATTAAAGGCTGTGAGTACCAAATGTACGCGGACGACTTCCAGATTTATATTCATTTTGACCCCTGTAACATAGCATGTGCCATTAAAAAACTAAATGAAAATTTGGATCGTATCTCCAGTTGGTCCGATAAAAATTGTTTGATGCTTAATCCTAATAAATGTAAGTTTGTGGTTGTTGGGACAAAAAAGTTGATAGCTGATATAGAAAGACATAAACCATGTATTAAAATCAATAATAAACCTATTGATCAATTAAAAGAAGCACGTAATTTAGGATTAGTCATTGATCCTCATCTTCGTTTTGAAACATATATTATGCAAACGGTGAAAGTCTGTTTCTATCGTCTTAAGTTGCTATATCGATTTCGGAAATATCTAACTGTGTCTACTAGGGAAAAGTTGTGTGAGGCTCTTGTCTTATCCAAATTAAACTATGGTGATGTAGTGTATGGCCCCTGCTTGTTGTCTAGAACTGAACGACTGATCCAGAGAGTGCAAAATGCATGTGCCCGGTTTTGCTATCACATTCCTCCGCGCCATCACGTTACTCCTTTCTTAAACAATGCCGGTATCATGAAAATGTTTTCACGTAGGAAGTTGCATCTTGCATGTTTAGTGTTTAATATAATAAATACAGGTAAACCTCAATACCTTTACGATAAATTATTGTGGGCGCAAGAGCATAGTATATATAATTTAAGAGTAGCTTCTATACGTTTAAAGGTACCACGCAGCTTCCAAGATCTGGAATGACCTCCCGCCTCCCATACGAAATTTAAAAACAACTTATACTTTTAAAAATTATGCTAAAAACTATTATTTAAATCTACAAAAAGCATGTAACTCCTTGTGATTGCATAACATTGCTGCTTCGTTGTATAATGTAGTGTTGTTGTATTGTTATTGTATTATTGTTGTACATATCTATATGGGTATATCTTGTCAGTTAAGTGTATGTATGTATGTATATGTATGTGTATGTGTGTGTGTGTGTGTGTATGTATGTATATGTAGGTATGTATATGTGTATATGTAGGTGTATGTGTGTATATATATATATATATGTATATATATATATATATGTGTGTATATGTATATATATGTATGTGTGTGTATATGTATATATATATATGCGTATGTTTGCTGTCGTCGTTCGTAATGTCACGTATGGGCACCACAGAATATCAGCGCTGTAGCAATTAAATTGCTGCAGCACATGCTGAGTGGTGACCATGTTGGCAATAATAAATGTAAAGTTTTTTTTTTTTTTTTTAATTCATAATGTATGTAACTTTTTGTTGTTGTCAATAAATGTTTTCTTTCTTTCTTTCTTTCTTTAGTTATAAGTGATCTCTTGGCGATAGCATACAACATTGTATCTCTCGCCGGCTGCCGGCTGAATGGAAAGGACAGCAAATTCGGCGCCGGGCTCAACGTGTTAATTGCCAATTGTTATAGATATAAGTTAATTTATGTATAAAAATTATATTCCAATAATCATTAGAGATTGAAAAATGTACTGTTCTTTCCCATGACAAGGCCAGTACTCATAACCAACTGGTTATTAGTATAACTGAACTAATTTTTTTTTCAATGGATTAAAAAGAATGGTAACCCCACCCGCGCTATTGGTATACACCGGCGATAAGTGAGAATAAAGTAGGTCAATTAGATCATCGTGACGAATTCAACAAGAATTGTTCACGATTGTTTCCAGGGGGATCACGCGTAGATCGACCTGATAGGGTATATTGCTAGCAATGGGACTGATAGTCCGTATTACTAATAATCCCTCCCCTCCCCCCGCTAACTGAACTAGTTACACTTATAATAAACGCCCGTCCCGAAAGTAACAACCACTAACTACGTTTGGAACTCTTTTTTTATACCACAAAGGTGGTAAACAAGCTTACAGCTCGTCTGATGGTAAACGGTCACTGTAGCCTATAGACGCCTGCAACACTATGGGTGTCACGTGCGCGTTGCCGACCCTGAAGAAACCTTAATGTACCCATTTTAAAGACTCCCATATTGTAGTCTCTAAGGACAACCTCGTCAGGAAGCTCATTCACATTTACAGCCTAAGCGTTCGTAGGAGAAAATTTCCCTGAAACCGCACTGTACATGACTATTTAGGCTCAAGCATGTAAGGATGGATTCCCTGTCGATGGCGAGTGCTGAAACTTCTATATAGTCACAATACGTCATTTATCGTAATCAATATCACAATTCCAAACATAAAATTGATAGCAGTCTAGCGTTGTCCATAAGTTTGATAATTCTCCTATGATATTTTATATGTTTGTGTCGCCCCCTGGCGGCGACAATTGCCTACCTTATGATGTAGGAGTGCGGTATCTGCGTGAGCACGGCGAGCGGCAGGCCGAAGCCGAGGAAGTAGGGCCAGTTGGTCTCGATGAAGGTAAGCCGCTTGTGCAGCTCCCAGCCCATGTTGAACCACTTGTACTCGAAGGAGTACAGCGAGTACAGCAGACACATGTGCACCAGGCACAGCGCCTCGCCCACGTACGCGATCGGCAGCATGCTCACCAGCATGCTCTGTCCACACACACACACATAGGGAACAACGCTCCAATATTAAATTTCGAACATTATATATGTATGTATGTTTATGTATTGTAATCTTATTTTTATATAAGTAATATTTAGGGTATTATGCATTTTGCTTGGCATATATGGTATACCAATATATACTAACTGTAATGGAAAACTCTATATAGCGAAATCGAAGGGGACCGGTTATTTTAATGCGTTATAAAGAGTTTTTGTTAAACGGAGTGTAAAAACAAAAAAAAAATTACAAATAAATACGTTTTAATTTTAACAAAAATAAGTGAAAAAAAATTACATAACAAAGTTATAATCAGTTATGTTTGTTTGTTTTTTTTTTACTGTTTTTTTTTTTTTTATTACAACATAGGGGGCAAACGAACATGCGGCTCACCTGATGGTAAGTGACTACCGCCGCCCATGATCACCCACAACACCTACGGCATTGCAGGTGTACTGCCGGCCTTTCAAAAAGGAATATGCTCTTTTCTTGAAGGTTATGATATTTATTTTCATTGTAAAGATAGTTAAATAACAAAAGATCATTGTATATTGGTTTGGTCATTTGGAGAGGATGGATGAAAGAAGAATTACGAAAGAGATTTATCGAGCAAGAATGAATGGAGATGTCGGTAGGAGCCGCCCTAGACGGACGTATGTCGACCAAATAGGCGACGTGCTGAAGAAGGGCCAAATTAAAAGTACCCGTAACCGGCGAGCGTGTATGACAAGATTGATGAATGTGGAAGAAGCGAAAGAGGTTTGTTTGAATCGAAGCATTTGGCGTTCCATTGTTTCTGCCTACCCTAACGGGAGACAGGCGTGACAGATATGTATGTATGTATGTAGATCATTGTATTTTATTCGTGTCTTGCGATATAGAGGGATTACCTGAGTTAAAAAGATTTTTTTGTACAGAAGAAATATTTACGATGCTGTCTGTATTGTGTTTGAAGGTCAGTGAAACTAATGTTTAACGGGGTCCAAATAACGATGTATTGTTTTGTTATTGAGAGTGTCTGTAACACTAGTGTTTCAATACAAGGGTAACAATGTAAACCAAACACACCTAACAATTTCTACATTTTCAGGAGATTTTCGTTAAATAGAAGTTCAGTAAATAGAGTTTACACTGTTACATATTAATATGAACATATACGCACAGGTACATATATAAATATAAATAAATATATGTAAATAAGCATTGAAAAACCAAAGGGAGACTTTGTACAATAGTCGTTTGCTTGAGCACATCTGTCTCATTCGTGTTTCAACCGTGAAGCAGTTATGTTTGCATGGCTGTGTTTCGGTTTGAAGAGTGGGATATGGCGTGAATTTACAGGGTACAGAGGATTTACAAAACTTCATTAAAATCGGTTGAGTGATCCTTTTTCACGGGATTTTTATATATTAAATCGTGAGATTTGTAACTATTGCTCAATTACCTGTACTAAAAATAAAGCTTGCACCAGCAAACTGAACAGTGAGTCAGCAATGATCTTGCTGACGCTGGACATGAACTGCGGCCGGCCGCGCCGGTGCCGGTACGCCGAGTCCGCTATGTCCTGCATATGATACTCACTTTTAATAGTCATCAATATTTTTTAAATATAATCACAATATTTTATGCAAATATTAATGACTCGATCTTGAATTGATAATGAAGAGAAACAATTTTATAACTGCTTCAAATAATTTCATTTTAAACATACATATATATTTTTTACGAAATACTCGTATTAAAACAGTGAAAGGTCCTCTGTCCTTAGACACATGCTATGTTGTGCAAAGACTTGAATTTACTTTCCAATATTTAATTAAACATGAACAAAACATAAACTTACTTGGAACCATAAGCTATTGACTAGTTTGCTCAATAAAAAGAGCGGTAGCACCCATATCATCCGGAAGGTCATGGAGAGGAAGGGCTTCATCCAGCCCCAGACATTGTGCGCCACGCCGGGATCGTGGCCGAACACAATCGTCACTAAGTACTTGACTGCCGGTAGCAGCGCATACTCAAATACGAGTATACTCAGCAAAAATATAAACCCGTTGAGGATGCATGACTGCAACACCCTCGTAAGTACTTTGGATTCTCTGAAATATGGAAAACTAAATAAATGTCATACAATTATTATAACTTAGATATTACCTTCAGGTTTAACTGACTAGTTTGTCCTAACAGGAGCCTGTGTTACGAGCAGCACTGTGCAATCGACAAACTGTTTCAACAGTAAAGCTTGATAAGGACCAACAACCAGTTTACTAACCCTAAAGTACCTATATCATCGTCATAACAGCCTTTAACTGTTCACTGCTTAACATACATACCCCCCTTTGGGTGGATTGCCAGTAATTACCATGCTTGAGGCTTAAGAGATATTTTAAGAGGGACACTGCTGACCATCTCTCGCCCCCCCTTAGTCGCCCACAAGGGGGTGATCTATTTTTGTAATATCTGTATGTGCCATGTGTTCCCAGCATAGAATGGGCCTCCCTGCCTTTCCCATGGGTATCATAAAAGATGACTAAGGGAACTTAATGGATGAGCGATGTGCAGCAGTGTCTCTTTAAATATCACCAAAGCCTAATTATGATTGCCATTCTGCCAGCCAAGTGTGGCAACTGCTACTACTAAACCCTCCTTCTGGAGGAGGCCTACATTCAGCAGTGGATGATTAACAGCCAATATGATTTGTAATGTGTTAACTGTAACCTGTGGCTTTCCCACTTTAGTTAGGACAAAATGTACATTGCTACTTTAATTATATAGGATATTAATCCTACATTATTTTTCTTCATTATATAATGGGTTCACAATTGGTGTAATTTTGCCCTAATAAAAAGTGGTACCCATAGACATGAACCACAATATAGAAATCACAGAATACATGGTGATGTCTATGGTATCCCTTGTAAATGTAAATAGGACTCTATTTTCCGCGCTTAGCCTCTCATTTGGGTCATTATACGTATATGGTATCCCTTATGCATTGCCATTTCTGAAACCCAAGAAAGAAAGATTGCTCACAGCAATAAGACCGCCTTACTGTACATATACAATTGTATTGTTGTGTTTGTAAATTGCCTTGATTATTTCCTATATTGTATAATGCAAATAAAGTATACTCATTCATTCATTCATTCATCCAAGATTCCATACACTATAATTTCATGCCCTTCAAACTCAAACACAGCCATGCAAGCATAGTTACTTCACAGTACAAATATGACTGGGGTCAGTGGGCCCCATGTAGATGACTTTATAAATTTCTTGAAACTAGGACTTTAAAAAGGGGTTGATTACTCAAACTAGAAGCATTAGTCATAGTAAACAAATGTACATTCATAGTAACTAATATGAAACCAAACTTAAGGTTGCATCTATGTTGCATACATTGATAATTCTAAATAAAGACATAGAAGGATTTTATCATATAAGGATTGTGAGTAGTTTAGAAACATGTCCGTAAGGAAATATCACATATATTACACTATGTGAACCATCTAAACTAAGTGTACATTTATTGTATATAATAATACTGAATTAGTACAAAAGTATAGGGCTCAACCACTAAGACAAAACATGTTTAACATATACAAAGATGTTATTTTTACCAAAATAAAAACTAGCAATGAAAAACATGGATACAATATAGGATAATATCACAAATATAATAATAGTACAATATAAACAAAATAGAAGAAATGGTCAGTTAGCCCTTAAGGGTGGTTCACAAATAATAATAATAGTTTAGGAAAGAGAATACATATTATTGAAGAAGTATTTCAGTGAATGGAATCATTGACGATCGAACTGAGATGCTGAACTCCACACCTCGGCTTGATCATCTCTCGGATGCGATAAGGCGAAGCAAACGCCGAGTCAATTAGAATATTATAATATAAACATTGGTCATTAAATCAATGATACTATTTCATTACATAATTATAGTGCAAAGTACAGAAAAATATAACTCTCACGGTTTCACTTTTGTCTGCTTCTCTTTAGATTGTGTATTTCCAGATTCTATTCGAGGCGAGCGACTTAACGCCTTCTCATTTATTTCTTTATCTAAATATAAAAGAACGGTCACTCCTCGTAAACTGTCTATGAAGCCTTTTATTAGTGAGACGGAGAAATTCTGAAAATTGAACAATAAACATTAAACAGATTGTTGAATCAATAACAAACACAAAAGAACAAAGAAGTTTCTTTTAAACACTCACTGTTATACTCTCCATGTTGTGTTCCTGCTCGATATTTTGTTATCTATTACTTCATTGTATCAAATCGATAATTTATCAAATTTATTCGCATCTTTTTTTAATTTCGACTGACATTTAGTTCCTTGTTATTTCACTGTTGATTAAATAACACGAGTTACATATACATATGATAATAATAGAGACAGTCGTCGGTACAGATTAGAGACAGAATTGCAGAGACTAAGTCGGCGGCTGATTCATGACATTCAGTTTGACGTCCGACATTAACATATGAAATGAATTGACATCTAAGATTGACATATTATTCTACAACATTTTTTTGTAAATACCAGCCTCAGTATCAACAATATACTCTTGTTTATATACTCTTTGAACCTTTCGTTACAGAAATAAAAGATATTATAAAATCTATATGGTAACAACAGTGGGAGAATTCAGTTAATATTACAGGACATACAGAGAATTTCAAACGAGAAATCAAACCCCCCTAATTTGTGCAGGGAAAATTCAGAGAGAAGATTTTATACAATTTTACGCCGTGTCAGGGTTTGTCACGGTAGTTTTAAAGAGCATTCTGCATAGAATGAAAATTTCTTCTACATATGACTTCTGACGTTCGGCTAATGAAATACAGTCATTGGGCCATTTGTTTTCTTTTTACCTGTCAAAATTTTGCTTTGCAGTGTTTACTATTTATTGACAATTTAATGAACATCTATGAAAGTATGGATATCTCGCGCTCTATCCAGATTTTATTAAGATGCAAAGAAACATATAAATCCATCTATGATTAAGTTTAAGAACTATGATATATCAAACCAGAATAAATTTTAAAACCAGTAATTAACAGAAGACAACAGCTATATAGGCTTAGCCCTTTTGCTTTAGCGACAACCCCAACAATTTTAAAACCAGAAATTAACTGAAGACAACGGCTGTATAGGCTTAGTCCTTTTGCTTTAGCGACAACCCCAACTCGTTTATTCTTACACAGAGTACTTATCACACGTTTATTAATCTGTCATCTTTGCTTTATTTATTTTATTATTCGACAAAAAAGAATACCTTCTTACTTTATTTTCTCAACGTGAAAATTTTTATTTGCTGTAATTTCTAATAATAATTCTATTTCAATGAAGTAAAGTTATCAGGATGGACAACTCGTATCTTCTCAATAATTTAAGGTCAGACCTTTGTTAATCACTAATACTATTTTAATGTTGACCTCAAAACCACAATATCATCAGTGAACAAAAAAATTTATTATTATTACGAAATTGTAATAGTTTGTATAAAATACTTTAAAAGAGACTGGTTTTAACATATTTGCTTGCTTTTAAGTATAATTTTTCTGCAGACAAAATGGTTATGTAGGTACTAAGATTTCCTCTAGAAAGTTGCCCCGCCACTTCTAGGCGTACATTACCGAATTAAGTATACAGGTACCTAACTGTTACATCTATTAGCAAAAAGTTTGCTTAAAACTTAGTTACTATTGATACTTACATATGTACTAAATAATTATATTGTTAAATATAATTATTGCCTATAAAGTAGATACATTGAGAGCCATGTTGACTATGCTAGAATTTATTTATTTATTTAACTCTTTATTACATTATAAACATAGAAATAAACAGTGACAATTGAATAATTCAAGTGAAATACAGTAATATAAATACAGATTGAAATATATACATAAAGGTGATTTTATCGTTAGGGCAATCTCTTACAGACAACCTTTGGTTAAAGGAGAACAGATAGAAGTGGGCAGGCGGCGCAATAGTAAATTATTAAACTACATATAATTTACTAAACTACGTACCATAACAATATATATATATATACACATATATATTCCTTAATGAACACATTTAAGGAAATATGTCAAATCCAGTCAAAAATTTATAAAAGAATGTAAAAGAGTAACTACAGTAAAAGAAAATGTAATTTGACTTGTCCTTGTAGAATCATAGATAATTAAAATGTTTTTCATACATAGTATAGATATGGAGTTTAGGATACTCTCATTATACATGTATACAAAAAAGTATAACAACCCTCATACATTGCCATTCCCGAGGACTAAGTTAACTTTTTATGGATGGTAACCTTTATGCTAACAGTCAGTGGTGTAACTATACCATTTGGGGCCTCTGGCAAATTATTTTGATTGGGCCCTATCATTTATTTTCAAGTAAAATAAAATACTCAGGTACAAGGTAAAAAAAAAATCCGAACTCGCTGCCTCTTGAGCTAGGGCCTTTTGGGTTGGGAGGCTGTGGCATTTTGCCAGCCCTGCTACCCTATTGTTACGCCACTGCTAACAGTATATGCTGACAAGGCACCAGTGAGAAACGATATATGAGAATGAAAAGACAGGTCAGTTAGCCTATCATGATGAATATACCTGGAATTTAACATGATGGTTTCCAGAATAGAACACGGAGGACAATCTGCAACGGTTTACATATGTACAGACTACCACGACTGCAGTTGATACTGTAGACACCTGTAGATCTAATCTTGAATCTAATATCATTTCCAATCCAATCTAATGCCAATGACAGTTCATGAAACAACAATTAGGAATTAGATTAGAATTGAGATCTTTTTACAACAGTTTGCATTAGTAAGTTACACTAATATGCATCTATTAGAACAATGTAGAATCATTATGTTGCTAATGTTGTAATCAGAGAGTGTTTTATTTCTAATGGATGAACTTGCAATGGTAACCCCACCTGCGCTGTCGGTATATACTGGCGTGGCACCAGTGGGAGGCGATAGGTGAGAATGAAAAGGCAGATCAGTTAGCCCATTGTGATGAATACAATGATAAATTAATAACGATAGTTTCCAGGGGAAACCACATGGAGGTCGACCTGATAGGGTGTATTGATAGCAATGAGAACTAATCTCCCCATTACTAACAATTCCTCCCCCCCCCTCCCGTCTAAGAGCATGATATGTCTCAATTTCAATATCGGATTATTGTAATTTGTTTCTATAATAATAGTGCTGTTAATTTTATTAATTAATCGGCGTGAATATGCTATTATAAGTGTTTCTTCAAAACCGAGCCTATTTTATCAGTTACTCCTGACGTAAGGGATATAGACAGGCTGTCTATTGACATTGAGATGTCAGCACTTTTTGGTGAGTCGTATCGCTCGTTGACTTGCAATGTGTCCATTTGTTTATGTAAAAACGGGATATTAATGAAGTCACTGTGTTTTTGTTGTTTCCAACAATCGTTTCAACTTCATCCGGAAGTCAGTTTAGGAGGCGTCTAGCGCTTTCCGTCACAGCTTCTTGCCTTACACTTTTCTTCTTAATGAATTTCTTTTTAATACCTCAGTAATGCTCTTACTCTTGATGTTCGGAGTCGCATAGATTATGGACTCTGAGTGACATAGATAGTAAGTAACGAAGATGGTGATGTAATAGGCTATCGATAAACACTGTAATAAAGTCCCGTCTGGTCGGTGCAGTTATTTTAATATATAGGAAAGAGCGACGTGTTCCTCACCATTTCATATGTAAACCTCGTGTCCGCGTGAATCGAGTTGAGGTGCTGCATATATTGCTCTACTTCCTGCATGTTGATAACATCAATTTCTCTTCGTGTTGATTGTTAGTGGATAATTCTCGTTACCTAATCACATCACCTAAAATATACAGTTTACATTACATTATGAAGCATGTGGAGTGTTTGAACAAAATTGTATTTATTGGTTTTGACAAAATAAAACTGATTCATATCATAACAGTTAACTGCCCACTGCTGAACATAGGCGCTTTCCCATAAAGAGGATTTTGCCAGTAGTTGCCACACTTGGTAGGCAGGTTGGCAACCGCAGTTAGCCTTTGGTGATGTTTCAAGAGGGACGTTGCTGTTCATCCCTCAACCATTATTTACCCTTAGTCGCCAAGAATGATTACTGCTGAGTACTGTAGTTAGTTTTGGGAGTAGGATGAATGCATTATGGGAAAGTTATTTGGCAGGAACAATATAAGCCAAAAAGCGTTCACTTTGAGCAGCTCAAAATCGACAATAGTTGTGACCTTTAATATTAATCGTTATAGCCATTGTAAATAATGTGATATCTAAGAGTCACACTGACCTACATGTTACGTTTTTTTTTAATTGATCATGTTATTTTGTTAATTAGATACATACTTAGTTACTACAAAAAATAATTACAAACATTCGGTAGAAAAATTATGAAATATTTAAAGAAAAACTTACTACTCTTTAAACAGATACTACTCTTTATCAGAGGACATTCCTATCTGTTGAGTAATCGATATTAATCTACCACACTTAATGCGGTTTAATAGATACTGAACAGTGGTTGGTGGCCAACCACTATCAGCTACACTTCTGAGCCGCCCGAAGGCTTCAGGCTTAACAACTGTTATCTAGTGACAGCAAGCAGGGCTTATGGTGCACGAAATACTCAAAAAACCACTACTTGGCCACCCATGCAGTGGTCAACTATCAACAAGCAGTGGTTTTACTAAATAATTAGTTTTGGTATTACTGGCACGGGAAATTCCGGCGCTTAGGCTAACCACACATTGTCTGTCACGTGAATCCACGTGGAGACAGCTGCACAGTTACTGATTGGTCGTATCACTACCGAGTGACTGCACGTACCACTGGTTTGCCATTCGAATGACCCTTTCAGCAATTGAGAATTTATAATAATATATTATTATTTTCAAACTACAATTTGATCCATTTTGTTAGCAACAATTTCCTTACAAACAATGTTAGTAAAAAAAGCAATTTAAGTTAACATTTAATATAAATCAATTCACTTAGATATGACCCAGCCGACTAGATCAGCGTCTGAGTGAAATGCGCAATTAAAGACGAGTTGTATTTCTAGCCTATTACTTTCAGAATTAGTATTTGATTTAGTAGGTAGTCCGTAGGCTACAGTGACCGTTTACCGTCAGACGGGCTGTATGCTCGTTGGCCATCTTTGTGGTATAAGAAAGAAAAAAAGATAGAAGATAATTTATTTGCATCACTTATAGCACACAAATAACAACGACAGAGATAGTCGTGCACAAAAGGAGAGAAGAAATATTAATATAAAAAAAAAATACATAAAAGAAATAACATAATTTGTTTATATCGTGCGTGTGCCACTGTAACACAAAATTACAACAACTCAGCTTATTGCTTTGCCCTCAACAGATCCAAACACTGATTTTCTGTCGTAGCCAAAAGCCAGCCTCGTAATTCCCTGACAAGAAATATATATCACTATCACTACATAGTATAAAATAAAGTCGCTGTCGCTGTCTGTCCGTCCCTATGTATGCTTAAATCTTTAAAACTACACAACGGATTTTGAGGCGGTTTTTTTTTAGACAGAGTGAATCAAGAGGAAGGTTTATGTGTATAATATAGTAGAGAAACGCCTGATAAATTTAGATATTTCTAATGTGATGAGATGTAGTGTGCACCTGTGCGAAGCCGGGGCGGGTCTCTAGTACATATATTATATATAGCAGAGCACCTTTTGTTAGGTCTTCTCATTGTGCTCGCCTGGTTTTGTCACAGACTTGCGTAGGTTATAAAATGCACTGTGATAAATTTTGTTTTTGGACAAAAAAATGCGTCTAATTTCTTTGGTTGAAACCCTAAGATACACTTAGGGTGTATCTCAACCTACTAGCTGTACAGAATCTAAGCAACTATTGAGTTGTACAGTTGTTCGTTGATAGCGGCCTTGCTAATCCAATAGCTAGCAATACATTGAAGGGTCTTAATTTTACGTGGTGTCCCGTGGAAACCGTTTCGGTTAACTTCTGATGAACTCATCACGATGAGTCAACTGAACTGTTTTGATCCTCATTACTCCTCTCATCCTTTACTGATCCCGCCGTCGTAAACCATTAGCACTGGCGACATTACCATTCCTATTTCATTCATTAAAAAACCTCGCAACAAAACCAGTTGCTCGAGCAATAATAGCCAACGTGCGGTCAGCCTTAATCACCGGCACAAAGTTCAGAAACTCATTAAAGTATTAATCAGCTACGTCACAACGGCGCCGCGAAGCGCACGTCCGCTAAAGAGGCTGGTACGCGCGCGCAGTACGCGGCCGGCTGTAGCGCGGAGCACGCGCATCGACTAACCGACTCCGTGACGTAGTAGATGACTGTTGCAAACACACGTAGCCATGAAGGTGGACAAAGAGAGTCTCGCGGCACCCACCGACACTAAACCTGTTATTGTCGACAGGAAGGGGAGCCACTGTTTATTGAACATCACCCCGGCCCAGCCAAAGACCCTCACGCACCTGCCCAAGAGGCCGCCGGTGGACTTGGCGTTCACTGATCTCACATACAAAGTGCAAGAAGGAAGAAAAAGCAGTAAGTCTCTCTTTCCATTTTGTACGTTTGTCCTTTGTCATAAGTCTCATCTCTTATCAAATGTTTTCAAATAACTATGTGTTCTTGAACTATTTGTTTTCGATGTTGTTGAATGTATAATTAATTATTAAGCTTTTATTCCGCAAAAAATATCGACTGATCATAACTAAATTATCATCGGACGACCCGAGAGTAAACACTGTCGGTTGCAAAAGAATTATCAGAATCGGTTTACAATTAGCCAAGCTATAACATAACATAGATACAAAACTACCAGGACAATTAGAAACCTTTTGAGTATTGGTTTTGTAATGGATGATAATGGATCAGCAGTGACTCCGCCTGTGCTAAACGAATACTAGTAAGGATTGATGAGTGAGAATGAATGCCAGTTCACCCGTCGTAACAAAGTCACTATGAATTAACGATTGTTTCCAAGGGAGACAGCTAGCTGACTCTACTACCTGCTGTATACCCTATATTGCTAGAAAAGGGGCCGCTAATCCCCGTTATTAATGATCCTTTTTTTACCTGCATATTTGTATATATACGGATTCCATTGCTAGCAATATACCTTGTCAGGTCGCCCTCCACGTGGTCCTCTCTGGAAACCGTCGTGATAAATGCATGGTGTGTTAACCACGGTGGGCTAAGTGAGCTGCCATTTCAATCTCACCTATCGTCCCTCACTGGTGCCCAGACAGCGTACACCGTAAGCGCAAGTGGGGTTATCATTCCATTATCATCCTTTAGAAAAAAAAACCCCTTTGTAAGTCTATTAATAAACAAGTATATAAGATAAGTACATACGCGTCAATAAATACTAGGCTAGATAATTAAAATATCTAACGATGTCAAACCACTTGGTTAATTAACTAGACATTAACCCAAGTTGTTCGATTGTGACCGCAATGCTGATAAGCGTGAAACGAAATAAAATCAAAATTAATGCATTAGGTATGCACCGCTGTGGAATATTTTAAATTAAGAACTCTGATAGTGCTCATAGCTAATGTACTCATTAAGTGACTGCCGCCGTGGTGTAGTAATGGGCGGGTTGCTTTGTGTATGACGTCCCAGAATCGGTTCCCTGTCGAGACAATTTAGAATACGGCCTATTCTAAACTGATTTAGATTTGAATATTCTGCGCCAGTTATTCGTTGCTCTTCTTCATTCATTACGTTGATATAATTATGTGGCAAAAAATAAGTAATGATTTTACTGAACTTTGCTCTATCTATGGTCCCATACAAACCTGCATATGTTTGTATATTTTCATGAAATTGCACTTATTTTTGTTAGTGCATCGTCAATTTGTATATTTGTAACAATTACATTTAAAATGCAAGTACATCAAATATGTATAATATCAGCGCTACAGAGAATCACGATGCAATAGTGTAAAAATTGCAAAAGTGCTGTGTTTTGCAATTCATGGCCGAGCTGTCCGCGGTGGTATCGCACCGGCGCGCCGGTAATTACAACATGAGTTCCACGCAAAACACAAAATAGTATTCTCGCTATATGTACACATTAGACACACGCTGTGTGGTCCCGCCATAGCATGGGCCACCTATTTCTTTCCTGTGGTCGAAGGATGGGCAGCAGCGTCCCTCTTAATATATCATAAAAACCTAACTGTGATTGCCAACCCGCTTGTCAAGCATGGCAACTACTGCCGAAATCTATCAATAGGGGGAAACCTATGTTCAGCAGTCGACAATTAACAACTAATATGTTATTCGCCGTGCGGTCCCGGCATAGAATAGGCTACCCCATTCCTATCCCGTAGGTGTCGTAAGAACCGACTAAGGATAGGCGAGTGACAGGCAGCAGCGTCCCTCTTAATACATCCCTAAAGGCTAACTGCGGTTGCCAATCCATCTGCCATACGTGGCAATTACTGGCAAAACCCTCCAAGGGGAAAGCTTATGTATGCTTAACAGTTGATACGACATACACAGAATTAAAATACCCAATGAATGCATAGGAAAATCAAGGTCTTGGTAAAGTTTTGGTAAAGACAACAAACCTCAATATTTGCTTGCAAAATTACGGTATTTGGTGAAAGTGGTAACCGCTTTCAGGCGTACAACAGATAAATTTTTAAGCGTTTCTAAAAGAATCGAAGCTAATTCTGGAGCAACTTTTGTCAATTCTTTTACTGTTCACTTCCGTTTTGGTCCTATTTTAATTTCATTATATTTAAAATCTTTTTTCTTTTTTTTTAGACATAACATAGGGTGTTTTGTCTAGTTAACTTTATACTTTCGCGTTGTTTACACATATTTAAATACACTATCGGGACTTAGCGCGATAAAAAATGTTTTTCAGGTTAATAGTACCTACATACATACATGCTTCTTTATTGCTGACGTAGTCACGACGTGGTGCAATCCACGTCAATAAAATTTTCATTGCGCGAAGCCCTGATAGTGTATTTAAATATGAAATTTGTCAATTTTAGAATAGAATGGAAATTTCTAGTGTCTACTCTATCTTTTAAATCGTTACTTGGCCTAATGATGACCAGTAAACCAGACAGCAAATTTGGCGACATTTTTCTGCAGTATTCTAATTCAATGTTTATTAGTATATCTATATTATTAATATTAGTGGTAATTATCTCTAAATAAAGCATTACTCATAAGTTTTGCGGGTCAGGGATTGCGAGATTCGGACCACACAAACTCAGTACTTGGTCAGATACCCGCGTACAAAATATTAGGGAACACGTTATCAGTGTCCTTGTTATATTAATTATTACACATTATCAGTTTTTCTATATTAATTTTACGCACAAAACCACTTACTGTGTTTATAGTTTAGATATGGTAAACGGTATGGTGAGAAAATAACTAACGATACGTGCATAAAACAGATATCAGAGCATTACGAGGCACAAATTCCTAACAAATCTGCAGCTTTGGGAACCGTATAAAGTTTACGACAATCTGTTAGGTTTACTGACCGAATTTACTCTCATAATCAAGAATCATCGTCATCATATCAGCCTTTAACTGTCCACTGCTGAACATAAGCCTCCCTCCTTGGGGAGTTTTACTAGTAGTTGCCACGCTTGGCAGGTAGATTGACAACCGCAGTTAGGCTTTGGAGATGTTTTAAGAGAGTCGCTGCTGCCCATCCCTCGCCCTCCCTTAATCGAACCACATGGAATGACATAATAAAAAATAAATAGTATTAATCTTTAGTATAGTAACATTGGGTTACTAATATAATAAAATTGTAAATAGACGATGTTTGTATATATAGCAGATATTTTATACACACTTTCCAAGAAGCAGGCAAAAAACTAGTTTAAAATAAGAACTTATATGCAATAACCCGCTACAATGGCAATGATTGTTGAGTAAACAATAAACTAGAATTAGTTCAATGAACTATAAATCTTAATATATAATAAATACGTGTCATTGTGTTCCTTCACGCTAAGCTCCGAAACCTCTCGAGACCGGTTTTAATGAAATTTTGTAAATGTGTATTGTTTACTTCAACTTGAGAGATAGGATAGTTTTCATTCCTACAAAAAAAAAACATGGGCCCGGTACTATAAAAGGCGAGTAGTCTGTAGAAATAATCATTTCGTTGGTAATCATAATGATAATAAAAATTAAATTTAAAGTTTCTTATAAAATTGTTTAGATATCTATCTGATCTGATATATCATTTATGTATGAGTGGGCTACGGTCAAAAATTATGTGCTGCGGCGCTTCTTCCTCTTTGTGATAGAATTCACAAAAACATAAGCCTAGTTGTGTCATGTGCTTATTTAGTTTGCAGTGTTCAGTGAGAGCCCCTGTTGATACACACATTATTTTTACTTAAGAGTTAATGTCTTTAAGTGTTCTGAAAACTCCTTAATTAGGCTTTTTACCAGCTATTATTTGCTGCTTTTAAGCTTGAAATGTCTAAGCTTTAGGCTTCGAGGCATACTGTTGGACCGAATGTTAAAGTGTACTGTATAATTGCCGATAGTTAGGTAGACTGTATGGTGCGACTCAAACTCCTCATAATGCACTTATTATTCTTATTAAAGGTTGAACAAAACCGTACATGGCATGGATCAAAACAAAAAAAGGGCGGGAAAGGAATATCTACTCGGTGTTACTAGTGTTGCCAATTTAATAATTCAATAATTGTTGCCTGGTGTTGCCTACACGTGCTACAATAAGATTCTGATCATATTTAGGCATTCGTTGCTCCTTCCTTTGCTAATTGGTTAGCTCTTTCATTTCCATGGATATTTGAGTGACCAAGGATCCATCCCAAGATAATATAATTTCTGCTGCCCAGATCATTTAATATCATTACATCGTTGGTTATATGGTTTAATTTCGTCAACTGCAAGTAATACTTCTTAGCTATCTGAGTAAATAAATATATTATACTTAGCTCCTTAACTATATGTATATCTATATGTATATACAATATCTTCGCGATAACAGGCTTAAAAGATCGCAATCATAACCTTGTGTAATAAAATCAAGATAAACTTGGCATTGCTAATGTAATAGGAAACAGGTATTCCACAAAGTTTAAAATATGATTACTTTTTGGCAATTAATCGTTTTTTTTTATCTAAACGTGTACAGTGTACATACGCAATGTACTCGTATATTATAAACATGTTATTACAATGTTGTTGTCAAGCATGTTTGTGCTACTATATTACAGTCCTGCATGTTTCTCTTCAAACTCTTGAAACTCCACTTTGGACAACATGGTTTCGTTTCATTCTTTGTGCCAATGAACGTTAATACCAAGTTTTAACAAAATATGACCAGGAAAATGTCATTGCGCATGCTATATAAATAGATACTCTTTATTGTTTCCTGCAAAAAAATACACTATTAAACTTATTATAGTTACAAACAATTACAAGAGATGATCACACTGAGAAAACAATGGGCGGTCTTATCGTTGATCTCTTCCAGTCAACCTTTGAATTGAAAGGAGTATTAACAGTTTGTCATAGTC